GAGCCATGGGATTCTTTTATATGGTGGCTATTTGGGTTACACCATGTAACTCATAACTTTACCCATTCCTTATGCTCCATGGATTTTAACCTCCATGGAGTATCCATGGGTCACCCCATGGACTTAGTCCAACATAAGGAATCTTGGATCACAAGCCCACATATATAAGAATGAATGATTTACACAATCAACCCATATATTTAATTAGTCTCCTTTTGATCACTTAATTAATTCCAAATTAATTCTTGGTCAATACTAATTAAATAACCTTATTAATATATTAGAACTTATAATATATTAACCAACCTTAAGTGTTATTTCTCTCATTATAGTCTATCTAAATGCATGATGCCATGCAACCCAAATGCACCATGCCGGGTCGGGTCAAGTCTTACCAATTATAGTTATGGACTTAGACATTAATCCAACAGTATCTTAGCCTATTAAGCCGACCTAAGGCATAAAGTTGGCAACTTTATGCCTTTGCATTTCCCATATGCTCCCAATACCCTCATTAAGACCTTTTTAAAGCTCTTATCCCATGCATGAGGTCAAAATACCCACCAAGACTCCATTTTTATGTTGCAAAAGGACCAAGGGACCTCAAATCTGTCATTTCCATCCTCTGGAGTTGCTTAACTCACAAGAGGAGGTCCAAAATCAACCAAAGGGACAAAACTAGAAAACCTAGACAGATCTAGTGATTTAAGTGGAAAGGTGCAAGCTTTATACCTCCAGAAGCTCCCAAGTCCATTCGGAGCCCCTTCGGTGCTGCCATTGCACCTTCACCAGCTTCAGCTCCTTGTTCCGAAGGCCCTTCGTCTTCTTATCTAAGATGGCAACCGACCTCTCGACGTAGTTCAGGCTACCATCCACCTGAATATCGTCCAATGAGACGACTGCGGACTCGTCGGTGACACACTTCTGAAGCTGAGACACATGGAAGGTGTTGTGAATCTGGCTAAGCTCCTCTGGCAGATCCAAGCGATATGCCACCTTGCCCAACCGGGTCGTGATCCTGAACGGGCCTATGAACCGAGGGCCCAACTTGACCCTCTTTCGAAACCTGATAATCCCCTTCCAGGGCGACACCTTCAGCAACACGAAATCCCCCACTTGAAACTCTCGAGATCTGATCGCTGTCGGTCAGCATAACTTTTCTGACTGCTCTGCGCGTCCCGCAGCCAGTCGCGCACCTGATGAATCAGTGCGGTAGTATTAAGCACTACCTCAGTGCTCCCCATGACCCGGTACCCAACCTCGTTCCAACAAACCGGGGTCCTGCACCTCCGACCATATAACATATCGAATAGGGCTCGATCGATACTGGCATGATAACTATTATTGTATGAAAACTCTGCCAATGGGACGTACGTATCCCAACTACCTGCAAAATCCAACACACATGCTCAGAGCATGTCCTCCAGTGTCTCGATCGTCCTGTCGCTCTGGCCATCAGTCTGGGGTGATACGCCGTACTAAAATGCAGCTGAGTGCCCAGTTCCTCGTGGAACTTCTTCCAGAACCTGGATGTAAACTGAATGTCCCTGTCAGAGATTACCGACACTGGCACCCCGTGTCTAGCCACCACCTCTCGTACATAGATTTCCGCCAACTTCTCCGCGGATATACTCTCAGAGATCGGTATGAAGTGGGCACTCTTCGTCAGTCTGTCCATGATCACCCATATGGCGTCCACACCCCTTGCCGTCCTCGGCAACTTCTTCATGAAGTCCATAGTGATTTCTTCCCATTTCTACATGGGAATGGGTAGCGGCTGAACCTTGCCATGAGGCCGCTGATGCTCGACCTTGACCTTCCTGCACGTCAAGCACCGCTCCACGAACCTGACGATCTCCCATTTCATACAGGGCCACCAGTAACTCAGTCTCAAGTCTCTATACATTTTCGTAGCCCCTGGATGAATAGAGAACTTGGAATTGTGTGCCTCCTCTAATATCCTCTGTCTCACTCCTCCAGTCACCGGTACCCACACTCGGCCACACCGTGTCAAAAGGCCGCGACTATCCTTTACAAACAAAGGATACTGTCCCTGAATCCACTCTATCTTCCAATTCTCCTTCTTCACCACCTCGACCTGGGCCTCTTTAATCATATCCAACAAAGGAGAAATCACCGTCATCCTCATACAAATGTTCCCAATAAGGGACTCCGCCGTCTTGCGGCTCAACGCATCGGCCACCACGTTGGCCATCCCTGGATGGTATAGGATCTCACAATCATAATCCTTCAGCACATCCAGCCACCTCCTCTGTCGCATATTGAGGTTCTGCTGATCCATCAAATACTTTAAACTCTTGTGATCAGTAAAAATGGTGCACCGCACCCCATACAAATAATGCCTCCAAATCTTGAGGGCAAACACTACTGCCCTTAATTCTAGGTCGTGAGTGGGGTAATTCGCCTCATGAGGCTTCAACTGCCTCAAGGCGTAAGCTATCACGTGCCCCCTCTACATCAGCACCGTACCTAACCCTGAAATCGACGCGTCACAGTACACCACCAAATCGTCTAACCTCTCGGGTAGTACTAGAATCGGAGCCTCGCATAACCTCCGTCTCAGGGTCTCAAAAGCCGTCTGCTGATCCGTGCCCCACCGAAAGGTCACATTCTTCTTGGTCAAGCGGTCAATGGCACAACAATCTTGGATAAATCCTCGATAAATCTCTGATAATAGCCCGCTAAACCCAAGAAGCTACGAATCTCTGATGCATTCTTCGGTACTTCCCATCGCATCACAGCCTCAACCTTGGCTGTATCAATCGAAATGCCCTCCTGATTGATGATATGCCCCAAAAACTGTACCTCCCGCAGCCAGAAATCACACTTAGAGAACTTTGCATAAAGCTTCTCCGCCCTCAGGGTCTCCAGTACCTCCCTCAAATGCTGCTCCCTAGTCTTAGAATAGACCAAAATATCATCAATAAAAACGATCACCGACCGATCCAGCATCGGTCTACACACTCTGTTCATAAGATCTATGAACGCTGTTGGGGAATTGGTGAGCCCAAACGGCATCACCACAAACTCATAATGCCCATACCAATTCGTAAAAGCCATCTTCGGTATATCCTCATCCCGAATCCTCATCTGATGGTATCCCGACCGAAGATCAATCTTGGAAAAGCAAGACGCACCCTGCAGCTGATCAAACAAATCATCGATCCTTGGCAACGGATAACGTTTCTTCACCGTTAGTTTGTTTAGATCCCTATAATCGATGCACATCCTATGCGATCCATCCTTATTTTTCACGAAAAGGATCGGTGCTCCCCACGAGGAACTGCTCAGACGTATGAACCCTCGGTCTAACAGCTCCTGAAGCTGCGTAGATAACTTCTGCATCTCAGGTGGTGCCAACCGATATGGTGCCTTTTCTATCAGAGCGGCACCAGGCACCAAGTCGATACGAAACTCTACCTACCTCTCCGGAGGCACTCCCGGTAACTCCTCGGGGAAAACATCCCGAAAGTCCTGTAAAATCGGAACACTGCCCACATCTGTCGTGGTCTCTACCCTCAATAAGCCAGAAATCCCGTACATCCCTGCTGCAGAAATCTCCTAGCCCTCGCAGCCGAACAAAGAGTCGGCCCCTGCGAGGCCCTATTACCATGTATCACCAGTTCACCCCCGCTTGGGGTTCAAAATCTCACCAACTGGCGCTCACAATCGATAATGGCTCCGTTGGCTCCCATCCAATCCATCCCGACAATCATCTTTAGCCCTTAAAACAGTATCGGGACTAGGTCGACACGAACGTCACTACTAGAAAAACAGCCTTTTACGATGCGCAATGCGTATCGTAAAACGCTCAGACGACGCACAAATGCATGTCAAGGAAGAACCTGTCATAACGAGAGACGACATGCTTTTGCGCGTCGTCTGTTTACGACACGCATTTACGACGCGCAATTACGACAAGTATTTACGACACACATTTACGACACACATTGCGTATCAAGGAAGGACCTGTCATAAAAGAAGATGACACGCATTGGTGTGTCGTAACCTTACGACACGCGTTTAGGACACGCATTGCGTATCATTAAAGCCCCTGTCATAAAAGAAGATGACACGCATTTACGTGTCATAAACTGCAACAACCATTTACAATATACATTTACGACACATCTTTACGATACTCATTTACGCATAATACAAAAATATGGAAACAAATATATACCAAAACAATCAATTTCATCCAATAACATCATGTCAAAAAATTGTAATACGTTGGTATTAAGGGGATCTGGTTGTACATTGCTATTAAGAGGTTTTTCCTAACTATATAACCTAATACTACATTGCTATTAAGGAACACCTTCTTGTTTCTACTTCTTATTGTTATGCTTCTTCTGTTTCCACATGATACATGTTTTCATCATCAACAAATTAGTATTCAAAAAGGCTTCAAGCATCATCAATCTATGTTATAAAAGAAGTATTCAAGAAGCATTGAAGTAAAAGGGTAAAATGGTAAACTGACATGTAAAGAAGAAAATATGTTTCTGACAGATGTGCTGTCTCACATTTACCCATTCTTCATTTGGGTTGATATCCACAGGTTTCATTAGACTGAAAGCAAAAACGCATATTAAATTTAAAATAAACTAAAATGTGAGATAGAAGTATATGGATGATACATAGAGGAAGTAGAAAACTAGAAAGTACCTTTTAGAAAGTACTTGATCACAAATAGGGCAAGCTGCATCATTGCTCTGTATCTTACTAGCATCTTCGTGGCCTTTGAATCTCATTAAGGAAAATAAGATGTGGATCATGTCATTCACTGATTGAAAGAAAGTGTAATTGACTACAATCTATAATTTTAAGTGGCCTTTTCACCAAGTAAAAATATGTCCGAATATTCAAAAACATGACTTACAGTAGATTTATAGAAAAAGAGTAGTCCAGAAGTAGTAGATTTATTTTATACCCCATTTCATATAATTGGTTGATCTTCTATCTTTAATTGTTATCTACAACCTGTAAATGATAAAAATAACCCAAGATAACAACGTTAAAAGTTAAAACCAAATGGCACATATTAAGAAAAACTAAATCATCGATTAAATTAAAACCAAAAAATACATTACTTACGTAAACAATTGAGGTTGGGTACGAGAGAGTTGAAGCTTTTTCATTGGTGATAATATCAGATTTCTCAATGTCATAGAAGAATGTTTTACAGGTGGGCTATTAGGGATGTCGAAGGGCCCACCAGAGTTAGAATTGTTTTGTCTTGTGGTTGCTGACCATATATCTTCCCGAGGTCGTGGAGTGTACTTTGTTTTGTCTTGGGTGTAAACTGACCAATCTACAACAAATAAGTGAACTATTATTTTTTGGGCAATACCGACTAAATAAACCTTTATATATAATAGCAATGTACTTTGTTTTTTTAATTCAGGATAATATTATGAAAAAGTAAGGATAGTCCCTTTTATATCTGGAGGGGAAATAGATTTTCCCTTTACCAAATTATAGGATAACAATATTAGTTATTTACAAAAACAGTTAAATAAGAAAAAATGATTAGAATAATTTTTATATACCTTTACAATAAAAATATTACATGAGGATACCTCTTCCAAATACTTCTTATGCCCACTGTATTAACCGATTTTCGCAATTTTGATTCCAAATTATAGTCCTTTTACATGAAATGAGGCCTGAAATTGCAAGAGATGAAGAAAAAAATCTACTGTACCGAGGGACAAAAATGTAATTTAGTGTTGTGAGTATGGGATGTGGGAATTGAAGTTACCAAAGAAGGGGATGGAGAGGGCTACAAGCACAATAGAGAAGACTAATGATGTTCTAATGAGGATGGAGTAGACATGAGACTTCATATGGTTTGATGGTATCAACTCCTCAAGACTCATAGCTATAGGAGATATGGTCAACACATATTTGGTAAATGGGTTGACCACCTGCAAAACAATAAATAAATCCAGAGGAAATAAGTTTTTTTTTTTAAAAAAAAAACAAAAGTCTGATAATGTTTTTCAAGTTAAATTAAATACCGTAGTCCAGACAACAACTTTAGAGGCAATCAAATTTGTGGGGAGGTTTAGGGTATATTGTGATTCTGTTGATTCACCAAACATCATGTATCCCATTATAGTCACTGCAGCATAAAGAATAACACAGCTCCCAAAGCTGCCCATAAAAATTTAATAAACTTGTGTTTTAGCATGTAAAAGAAAAAGTAGCTAGGGTGATAAAATTAGCATACCTGGCTAAGAGTACCATAGGAAATTGACTTCTTTTTTCCATTGATGTATAGATATTAGGAAACACTGCATGTCTTGAATAACAGTACCCATAAAGGCCTATGGCAACAGGGAAAGTTAAGAGGTTTAACATTTTTGTGATTTCAATTTGAAACCCCACATCATCCACTAACCCAACCCAAAACAAGCAAATCGCTACTAGAATTGACGCAATAACTCCTCAAGCTGGATTAAAAACAAAATGATTTAATTGTAAAAGTTTATTATAAACCATTTTGATTTTGATCTTCTGTTAATAAATAGTATAAAGTTTTACCAGATATGTAACTGAGAACACTCATGTTGCGTAGCCAAACTGTGTGAAGGACAGCCAGAGTGATCATAATTGCAAATAAATAATGTGCGTTTAGTATATATCCTCCAAGGTTTAAATGTGCATTTGGAAATAGAGACGATAGGTTATCACTCTCCAAGATAATATATTCAACACAACATGCCTTCAGTGAAAGAAAAAAAACTAAGTTAAAACATAGAATCCAGCCAAATTAAGTAAAACCAAGTCAATGTCAGATTAGATATACTTACGTATAACTCCACGTACAATATTATATGCAGTAAAAACAGAAACCAAGAGAAAAAGGGTAAATTGGTCAGAAACAAGACTTTAATGTGAGTTTATTTTTTGTTGTTGATGTATTAAGTAAACTTACAGAAATGATGAGACGTCCGAGAGTGCCAAAGGCAGCCTGGCCAATATCTGGATAGGTCTCGAGGCCAGGTTGACTATCTAAGCAGTATCGAAGGAGGATACCAGTGTAGAAAGAAAGGACACCAAAGATGAACAATAATGACAATCCTACCCATCCTCCTTCTTTCACTGCAAAAGGAGTTGAAAGAAGTCCAACTCCACAAAGAACATTTATGTGAGTCTAATTATCATAAGCAAGATACAGTGAGAATACAGGGTTCTTGATTCCCAGGGTTATAAGAACACGTAGAACCAAAACCCCCTATTTCCCTAAAATACATCTTCTCAAATAACGAAATAGATATTAAAAATGTTGGAACAAAAATATACATTAACTCTAACTTTTCCGTTTTTTCACAAAATTCTACATTAAACCTAGTAAGTTTGTTTGAAGCGAGTTGAACTGAACTCACAAATGACGCAAAAACTCTCTCATACATTATCTGACTAATAAATAAATTTTCTCTGGTAGTTTGAATAGAAAATATCTAACACTAGAATTAAGATACAAGCTAGATAGAGAAAGCGATCAGAACTTACCTGTCACATTCGTTGTTACCTAGATTGAGAAAGCGAACACTGAAGATGATGAGTAGAGGGGGATAGAAAGTAATGGTGGGTTGATAGTGCCCAAAAATGTGTGCAAAAAGGACCAAGGCGCTTGCCCTTTTTCTCTTCTGAGCATCAAAAACGGGGTGAGCGTGTATTTGGGTTTTCTGCAAAAGATGGAAACAAAGGAATTTGATGTTAGGTGAGCATGAGATCGTCAATGAGGAGAAGTGACCAAGGGCATAGTGAAATCGTTACGCTCTTACCAAAATGCCCAAATAGTGAATTAAATACAGGCGATTAGGGAAGGAAAGATGTGAAAGCATAAAAGGCAAGACTTAGGGTTCAATGATGGTGGCGATGGCTTAGGGTTTACAGAGAGAAGGAAAAGAGATACAGAGAAGAGAGTGCAGAAGCGGGGTAGTTCAAAATTTTAGAATTTGAGAGGATTTCATTTTCTCCCTTTAAAAACGCGCGTTCCAGTAAAAAATTATAAAGCGACACTTGTAGATGACACACATGTAAGATAAGCGCCTTCCGTGTTTTTTTTTTGGACATAAATTTTAGGGCACGCAAAAATGCGTGTTCTCTATCCTTCAAATTTTGCAAAGTTGACATTATTTTTTAGGGCACGCACAAATGCGTGTCTTGTGTCAGCGCTTGTCATTGTTTTCGCGTCATTAAAGGGCTGTTTTCTAGTAGTGCCTCTCACCAAGTACATTCAGGACACAGCCCCGATACACCCTCGTAGCACTAACGGTGCGTTCATCTTCAATCTTTACCTCGAGCGAGGAATCCAAAGTTCCCAGCGCGTCCCAGAACTTCTTGCTAAGCGCAAGAGATACGAACGATCGGGTAGCACCCGAATCAAACAAAACATGCGTCGACATACCTTTGACCAAAAAGGTCTCTATACAAGCATAATATACACATAAGTCATACAAATCATAAGGAGTAGAGAATAATAGATACGTACCCGCCACGATGTCTGGCGCTGCCCGAGCCTCCTTGGTGGTCAACTGAAATGCGTGGCTCCTCACCACTGGAACATCCACCTTGGTAGGGCGGCCATCGGTAATCCTCAATGTGGAGGGAGTAGGCGCCGCCACCGCTCATCCCCCTCCCTGCAACCTCGGACAGTTGACCCGCTTATGGACGGTCTGGTTGCAGTGAAAACAAATCAAGCTCCACGTGGGGCAGTCCTTGTTCAAATGGCCCTGCTGGCCACATGTATAGCATCCCGAGCCTGTAACACAACAAGCTCCACTGTGCACCCTACTATACTTGGCACACCGGCCCCAACCCTACTGTGACATCCCCATTTTCACGGCCAGAAAAGACCGATTTTATTTATGCGTTGTTTAAAAATCAGAGTAACATTTTAAATAAAAGTGTTGCGGAATTTGTTCCCAAAATAAAATTATGATAAAGACTTATCAAAGCATTTCTGTAGAAATGTATTTCATTAAAAAACATCGGGATGTCATGTTCGATACAGATCAAAAGCATAAACAGTACAATATAGCCTTACTACATTTATTCATAATCTCTCATCCCAAACATCATATCTATGCTCGTGCGCCACTACCTGTAATACAAGAAACTGAGTGGGTCAGGCTTGGGAGCCTGGTGAGCACATAGGGTTTTCAACCCACAATAAATAAGTTTATTAATTTCATCAATCAACAATAACCCGATTACCCGTTCCCGTTATCCTCACATTACGTCCCTAAAACACCTATCATAAGGGACCTAGACTAAGGATCAATATCGGGATGGACACTACTGCCAAGGGGTTTCCTTAGCAATAAATGTCCTAAAGGCAACCATGAGGGGGATGGAGTACACCGGTGAACACATCGTTCACAAACATCTACAGGTTGCGAGCCTGCTAGCGTTCCACTGGACTGTCTAGAAGAGTCCGTGGTCGTCATCCATACTCCGCTAGATGACAGAATCAATAACAACAACATCGAGGCCTCTCATCATTTTATCACACATTGTCTTATTACATCTACCCATGTTTTACCCCAACATTTTTATAGATATAAAATACATATACAGTTTAAATTATTTAAAACATGTATAAAAATCTTTCATCAGCATAGGCAGCAAGTATTCAGATAATATGCACACATAGCACGTAATTAATATAAAATACTTCATATCTATGTGTAAGATGAAAGTAACTATGCACTCACCTGATTAGGTGGTGACTCGGTATTTGAACAGTACTTCGTTATCTCAAAACAATTTTTCCTTGACCAAAACCTAGTATTAATACCACTAGAGTTTAGTTTTAACGTTAACCGTGACTAATTAATAGTCTAGCTATTATTATTATTATATAAGCGTTAAATAACACTCAATATATAAATAATAATAGCCCAAATAATTATTTTAAGGACCTAATAACATTACTATAATTATTTAAAAGTTATATTAAAAATTTCGTAGGCGTACCTTACTTACAGCGGGTTTTTCTCAAAACCGGGCTTCGCTGGAGCAGCGTTTCCGAGCCGAAAGGTTCTTTTCTCGGGACTCCGGGAGCCTCGGAACTTCCTTCGGGTGCTAGGGGGTTTACCTAGACTTTTAGGGGCTCAAGGGAGCTTAGAGAGAGAGAGTTTAGAGAGGGAAAGTGGAAGAGGAAAGGTGTAAGAAATGAGAGAACCCGACACTTCTATTTATAGTGAGTTGGGGCATGTGGTGGCCTTCTGGTGGTGCCACTTGTCCAAATTCTGGTGGTGTCACATGTCCAATTTCTGGTGGTGCCATGTGTCCAATTTCTGGTGGTGCCACATGTCCAATTTCTGGTGGTGCCATGTCACCCAATATCGCGTATCGGCCTCCCGTCTTAGAAAAATCATAACTCTCGCATACGAGCTCCGTTTTTGACGTTATTTATATCCACGCGAAGGCGGGAACGTAATCTACAACTTTCGTTTAGACTCCGTTGGCTAATTTTGAATTTATTTTAAAAGTTATATTTTTAACAGGCCGGGACAGGATTGGTCCGTTAAAAATTCATAACTTCTTCATCCGACGTCCGTTTTCGTCTGTCTTTTTATTGTTACGCCACAATTAAAGAGCTCTTCGATTCTCGTTTAGGTCGTGTCGGATAAAAACTCGCTTTATCATAAATTCACTATTCACGCTTCCCGGTATCGTGCTGGTTCCGTCGTGAAACTTCGTCGGGTCATAACTTCTTCGTTATAACTCGGATTTCGGCGTTCTTTATATCTCCGGAATGCTTGTTTTGACCACTACAACTTTATGTAAAGATATCGGGCTTATCTCATATTTTAATTTTGACGCTTATTTTTATTCTTTATTAATTATACATTTATAATTAAATAATAAGCACATAAATTCACAAAATACTCAAATATTTCATTTTTATTACATCAAAAGAGTTACAATAGTTGACCTAGACTGTTACATCGTCTAAAAATGCTTAGCCCCGAAACCCGGGCGTTACACCTGCTGACCCTTGCTGGAAGTTTCTGAGGTCTTAGGCTTCTTAGTCTGACCCACCGCTGCCTATGCCTGCTCCGGCTTCCGCTTGGTACGGAAGTCCAACTCCATTTCCCGTTCCCGGGCCTTCTCTACCATCTCATTCAGGGTTTTGTACCATGTAAATCTCACAAACTCCCGGATATCATCCCTCAGCATGGAATGATATCTCGTCCTCAGCATATCCTCATCGGTAGCGTACTGCAGAATCAACAAAGCTCGTTCCCGAAACTTGGCGGTGATCTCCGCCATAGTCTTGGTAGTCTGTTGAAGGTCATGAAACTCCCTCACAAGTCATTGCACCTCAATGCCTAGTGCAAACT